TTGTTAAACTCTGTTTTCAAGCAAGAATTCTCACTATCAGATAGACAATTTAGAGATAAGATAAAAGGATTTAAATGGGAATCCAGGGAAGGGCTGAAAGAAAAGCAAGACACTTTTATTAAAGATATTTTCTAGTCCTCAACGTTTGAAATGTATCCCCACTAAAATGACAGATTTCAGTGGAGTTCTTCTTCAAAGATACGCTACACGCTTTTTGCTTCAGAATCCCTTGCTCCAAAGGCTGAACCCCTGGCAGCTGGACCCTGGCTTCTTAGGGTGTAAGGTGGCTCAGAAATGGCACCCAAAACTCAAGACACTAGGGCCACACCCCTGTCACTGATAAGGGTGGTGATTTTGGGCAAGTTATTTAGCCTGATCCATGAAACGTTAGATAAATCAGTACCTGTGCCATGAGTATATCTTGAAGATTAAATTGGATCAAGTGTGAGAAATGTCTGTCATGGAGAAAGCACTCCATACGTGTTGCTATTATTGGCAGCCATTGGATAAAGCAGAAATAATGTGTGTAACCTCCCTGACTTTTACATGGCATGGGTTATCACAGTGACTGTCTAACAGACTTCTGAACTGTGCAGTCCTTTTCAGGTCATCATTTTTTTTTTTTTTTTCAGTATGCGGGCCTCTCACTGTTGTGGCCTCTCCCGTTGCAGAGCACAGGCTCCAGACGCGCAGGCTCAGCAGCCATGGCTCACGGGCCCAGCCGCTCCACGGCATGTGGGATCTTCCCGGACCGGGGCACGAACCTGCGTCCCCTGCATCGGCAGGCGGACTCTCAATCACTGCGCCACCAGGGAAGCCCGCTGCCTTACTCTTAAGAGGTTTAGGAATAAAGTATGCCTGGGTTTGCATGGAAGAGACTGGGTATTCTGCAGATAAACTGGATTGTTTGTATGTAGCATGAGGTGGTTGGAGGTGGGCACGGGATCCAAAATTTTATGGACGTCCATCATCGACAACCACTGGAGTTATCTTCTCCCTGTGCCTTTTGCCACCGTCAGCAAAGTGAAGAAAGCAGCAAGGAACAGGCTTCCCTGGTGGTGCTGTGGTTAAGAATCCACCTGCCAATGCGGAGGGCATGGGTTCGAGCCCTGGTCTGGGACGATCCCACATGACGTGGATCATCTAAGCCTGTGCAGCACAGCTACTGAGCCTGCGCTCCAGAGCCCGCGAGCCACAACTACTGAGCCTGTGTGCCACAACTACTGAAGCCCACGCGCCTAGAGCCCATGCTCCACAACAAGAGAAGCCACTGCAAGGAAGAGTAGCCCCCCGCTCACTGCAACTACAGAAAGCCCACGTGCAGCACCAAAGACACAACTCAGCCAAAAAAAAGGAAAAGGAAGCTTGAGGTGAAATCTGAAGATGCAGAACCTTGAGGTAGAATGGGGTTGAGCCACCCCTGGGCTGGAACCATGGTAAAGAAATTGATGAGGCAGCCCTTGGGGACCCCACGGTCTTGGATAAACCCCATGGTCGGGGTAAAAATTGCCCCTGGGTGACTTAGGACATCACACGACTGGGGAGAAGAGGGTGTTTCCCAGCTTGTTTTATAGAGAACTGAGAGTACACAGCATCATCTTCACATGACCTCCTCACCAGAAACTCCACAGGGAGGCAAAGAGGGGTGCGACCTCCCTCTTGCCTTTCACTCTCGTCCCAGGCTGCCCTTTTAAGGAGCTTTTTATCTTCTAGGACTGCCTAAATTCTCCTTTAACCTAGTTCCTGCTTTATGGGCATATGGGAGAGGGAAACAAGGAGCAACCACTGAGCTACACTTTGGTGACCCTGAAGAATGTTCAGGAAACCTCAGCAAAAGGGAGGTAAGGTGTCAGAGAGAAAGTGCCCAGGAGTAACCCTATTATAAATGGAATTATTACTAGAAGAATTATTACTGACAAAACCAAACTGGTATTCGATGTGAGTCTATAGGAGTTTAAGTAATCACATTAAAATAAAGGTTCCATATTGCTTGGTGGTCAATAATAATAATAATAATAATGCCTAGGAGCAGACCTAGAGAAAGGGCTGCCTGGTGCAGCCTTTCCCCTGGAATAGGTGCTGTCCCCGTGCGCACAGTCTGGGTCCTGGGACACTCCCAGTTCTGCAACTTTGGCTCCCAGGACACCATGTCCCCTTGGCCAGCGAAGCACCCGACCATAGTGGATGGAAGAGAGATCAGGAAGGAGAGTTCAAGATTAGGGAGCTCGAGAAGTTCTTCTGCATTGGGAACTCACACAAAGAAAGAAGGGTCGGTTGGAAGAAGGGCCCCAGGCAGAAGGAGCTGTACACCCATCAGAAGGAAATGGGTAGCTGTGGGGGAAGGAGGGGGAGGGGGCTGCTGATGTACAGGGGAACTGAAGCTTGTGGGGTGGATGGGAGCAGTGAGGGGAAGCCTGGGCTCGTCTGCATGAAACAGGTTCCTATTCTCGTAAAAGGTAGGTGGTCCTTAACACTCAGCTATGCGCATCAGGCACCCTCTGAAGTCAAGACAGACATAAAGTACTTGGATTATTATCTAGAACTGATGTTACGTACATGTAAGTTAAGTCCACTAACCCAGTGGAAAGGTTCATCCTTTTCAAAGGTTCATCATTTGACATTGATCAATGTCAAACATCAAAAGAAAAAAAAAAAAAAAAAAAAAAAAAAAAAAAAAAAAAGCAAAAACAAGCCCAGACTCTACTCTAGAGCTGCTTTGTGCAAAATGGTAGCCATCTGCCGTACCCACCCATTGAGATCACATATGTGGCTGGCTAGTCCACAGGGAGATGCGCTATAAACGCAAATACCTACTGGACTTTGAGAATGTAGTGTGCATAAGAGAATGTCAAAACACCTCTTTGTAAAATTAATTGCATGCTGAAATAATATTTTGGACGTCCTGGGTGAAATAAACTGTATGAGAATTAATTTAATCCATCTCTTTACTGTTTTTGATGTGACTACTAGAAAGTTTAAAATTACATATGTGGCTCATATTATATTTGTATTGGACTGTGTTGCTCTTGAACCCAGTTCTGACATTCATTTGCTGTGTATCCTTGGGGAAGTAGGTTAACTTCTCTGTACCTGCAATTCCTCGACTATAAAGTAATTGAGTTGTGAAGATGAAATGATTTGATATACGAAAAGCACTTAGAAAAATATTTGCAATGTAGAAAATTTAGCTATTATCACAGTTTTCTTTCTTTCTTTCACTCTTTCCTGCTTCCTCCTTTCCTTCCTTGCTCCCTCCCTCCCTTCCTTCCTTGCTTCCTTTCTTTCATAAAAGAGTTTCAGTGAGCTACAGTTACAAATCAGAGATGAACCGTTAGAAAGGGGTAGAATTGGAATGCATTTCTGTATTTCCAGCCAACTGTTGTAGCTATGGAAAGCATCTAAAGTATATTGCTGATAATGGAATAATAATAATTCAATTAGCTCTCAAAAGAGTTTCACAATCTTTTAAAAGTGTGAACTCCCATAGAGCCTTCTTGTTTTGTGTCTGCAATGACAATAAACACACAAAGCAGGTCCAGCAGGTCCAGCACGCATTGTAGTATAAACAGACAAATGTTTCTGGTTGTTTACTGTAAATAAGAAAAAATTACACTGGAATTTGTGAGTTGTTTAATTAGAATCTGCAATTTACTTGTGTGTTTCCTTTTGCTAGTTTCTTCTCCTAAACTACTTTTAATTTGCTTAGAAGTGAGCCTAAAACTTATAACATGTGGACACTTCTAAGGACGGAAAATCCGAAAGCTCTGGTTGGATTGGAGGAGGGTGATTAAAAGAAAAAGGGGAAATAGAAAAATTGCATTTACTGTAATTTAAGGGACATGATAGGATATCAAGAATATGATATGTCATTCAAGAATTGCTTGCACACGTAAGAATCTATCCACACGCCCTGGGATATATAAACAGGAGTAGAATCATAGGAGAGTTTCTCTTTTATGTGATATGTATCATTGCTCCAATGCTTTTTAGCGGGGACTGATTTTAATTTTTGACTCCATAATTTAAAACGAATGTGATGGATATAGAGAAAAACAGCAAAAATGATGAAAGGATTAGCCAATAAAATACCTGGAAACAAAGCATTTTAACACAAGAGTTTTTTAACCCTTAACATGAAAACCCACAGAGTTTTTAAACTGGGAAAGGGATGAGTGACAATTTAACAAAATTGGAAATGACAAATGAGACTGAGGCCATGAGTCTAACAAGTGAACATGGGCATTGTTACATGATTGTCTCAGGTGCATCCCTGCCACCACCTACGTGCTTTCAAGCTCATGCTTCTTATTTCTTCTCATGCATTTGACATTTTTGGAGGAAGGGGGGCACAGATCTCCTTCTTCCATGTGCCCTAATACCCTGTACCTCTCTCTAACATGATGCTCAACCCTCTGTATTGTGATTTTCCACTTTTGTGTGAGTCTCTCTAGATCTCCAAGGACAGGAACTCAAGCCTTCTTTTTCCATTTTCCCAGAACCTGGCAGTGTCCTCGTATGTTGCCTGAATGCATGAATAAGCATAGGGACGTTAAATTTTCTGGAAAGGGTATTTTAGAATAATTTGAGATAATTAGTTTGTTGCCGTTAGGACCATTACAAATAGTTCCTTAATAATCCTTGATTTTAAGACTGAGGATGAAATGAGTTGATGGTGCATTGTTACAGGAGTTTTAGAATCAAACAGCTCTTTTTCTAGGTTGGACAAGTTGCTTAACCTTTCTGAGACTTATCTTCTTATCTGTAAAATTGGAACAGTCATACCTAATGCCCTGTAGGGTGAGTGTGAGCTTGTAATTAAAATGCAATTATGCACAAAAAGTAGTTAAGCTAAGTGTCTGTCATCATATAAGCACTACATCATTCATTCATTCAGCAAGTATCTATTACTATGTGACAAGCACTAAGGATATAGCAGGTGTTAAGAATATAACAAGGTGATTATCATTATTATAAGATATGAAAGCTTTAGGTAAAATTACCTGTCCATGATGCTCTGTCTCCCATTGCCAGGAGGCCAATGCCAGGGTTGCTGTTACGGACCAGTAAACCCCATCTAAAGCAGAATGTTGGGAACGCAGGTAACCCTGTCCACCGGTAATCTGCAATCTGAAGGACTCATGAGAACAGGCTGGTCTCGAGACTGACTCTCCCTGTTGGCCCAAAGCTTCCAGTGTTGAAAATCCCATCTGACTCCAAAGACCTTCCAGACTACTCAGTCTGAGATTACTAGCATTAGATCTGGCAAAGAAACACTCAGAAAGATTTACCTTAGCCCTTCCTGGAATCTACTGTGGCTTTCTAGAATTTAGATTTATTAAGGAAAGTTAAATATGTACTGAAAGGAAAGCAGACTTCTTTCTTGACTGTGGCACATGCAATGAAGGTTTCGCTTTCACAGCCCTAGTTCCTTCGCAACCGCTTGCTGGGTCTGTTGCCAGAATGGACCCCAATTTCTTTTTCCTCTTCCGTGTGTTTCCTGTGATCTCAGTAGGAACAAGGAGATAAACACATGATACCCCTCATCACTCAATCTGGAAAATTCAGCGTGCTCCAATTCAAAAGCCAAGTCCTAAAAGAAACTGGGACATCCTCTAAACCAGCAAGTTAGAAAATGTAGCAGATCCAAAGACAAGATGATTATGCTCTTAGTTAATTTTGATATCCCTCCTTGATTTCTTATTCAGAAGAGTCTATCTGGAGGGCTATTTCCGGGAGTATCTCCTCTGGCAGAGGCTTTCCTTTCTTAATTTAGGGAAAAGAAGAGTTGGAGAGAGAAATGGGCCCTGATGGAGAAGAGAGAGAGGTTACACTAAAAACAATATGATCAAAGGCAGATTCTGATTTTTTAGGTCAATTAGAAAAGTTGATCACTTTGGAAGACTATTGAAGTCTAAATGAAGTCGTAGAAATGATTTATTTTGCCGGAGAGACCTGTGTCTCCACAGGTTAATGGTTTCATTGGATGTGTAAAACAGGGTTACAGGGGTCCGGGAGGTGAACAGTAACAGAGTGATTGTTTTTCTCTCTCCTCTAAGGAATTCAACTAATTCTGCTTTCTCTTTTCTCTTCTTCATTTCTCTGTCTCCCACCTCCTCTTCCCCTTAGAACCAATTGGTTGTTTGAATCTGCCCTTGAGTAGGCCTTAGATTGTTCCCAAGAAGTTGTGGTTCTGCTGGAATGCTGGCCATTCTCATTTGAATTCTTAGGCAGGACAATCTTTCTCTCTCCAAAACGTTTGGTCCTGGGGCATGTTCTTTTGAACTTAAGTTAAAGATGTGCTAATATTACGGCTGACGTCCAACGGATGAAAAGACAATCAGTCCCCGATGGAAGGCAAGTAAATGTCTGTGCATCGTTGCCAGTCTCTGTGCTGGGAGCTGTGTGACCCATCATAAGCCCCTTAAAACTTCAGAATGACTGCATTAGATGATTAGAACCCCATTTTTAGTTGAGGAAACGAGTGTTAAAATACTTGATTTTCTAAAGGTTGTACAGCTAAAAGTGACTAGAAGAATTTGGACACAGTCTGAGTCAGCGCAGATCATTCCTGTTCATGCAGACACCTCCTCAGCTACCAGGACTCCCTGTACGCACTCCCTGTACACACCTTGGCTTCCTTTAAGGTCACAAGTGCTTCTTGAATTCATGTATCCTGCGTTTTCCAGAATGAATAATGCAGGTCAGCACAGAATGAGAGCTGAAGGGTTTGAGAAAGAAAACCAACATTGTGTCAGGAAACTTCTGTGCCACAAACCTACAAGATCCCATCTGGTTGAGGATAAGATACACCCTGCTCACATGAAATGGAAAATGGGACCTGCTCCTTCAACCAAGGAATTCTGCCTTTCCAAGGACCAATGTGGGACTAAAGCAAAATCGTAGCCCTTGGATGAGGAGAAATAAACCAGCCCAAAAGGAATGGAATTCAAAGTGGAAGATTCGAAGAGGCAAAGGAGATACCAAAAAAGAGTTCATAAAGAAGATTGAGTTGATGTACACATGGTTTACATCTATTACTACTTGTGTGAGTTGAATTGAACATAAAAATGTTTAAGTAGCCAATCTCACGTGCTGTACTGCAGTGGACATGGCCCTAGAATCACGGGTAGCAGGGATTGCCAGAGTGTAAGGGAAAAGTCCATGGATTTCACCAGGATGATCTTCTGGAAAGAAACCTCCAGTTGCCCAGATCGTGGCGCTGACAAATTACTCAGGAAAACAGGGAAGACGGGTGTGGAAAGATGGAGACAGGAGAGGGAAACAGCTTTACTTAATTTTCTTTACTTCAATTTTCCCAACTTACATCAACCTTCCCCCTACATGAACCTGTCCCAAAGCCTACCATGTGACACCAAAGGGCACAGTCGAAACCATCCAAAGCTGCGCAGAGAAGTGCAGAGATGCTCTGGGCATGGTTGCCTGCGTGAATGGTATTTCCGGCTTCCTGTCATCTTAAGAAAAAGGAAGTGCAGGAGTGAGTCTGTGTGTGTGTGTGTGTGTGTGTGTGTGTGTGTGTGTGTGCGTGAGCGTAGGCTTGTGAGTTTCTCACTGTGTGTGTGAGATTTCGTGTGTGTTTCCGGGTGAGTGAGGTGAGGCTGGCTGCCGGGCAGAGACAGTCAATGTGGCACATTTGTCCACCTTGGAGTCAGCCTGAGTGCCCAGTGACACTCTCCATTTCCTCTGGTCTGGGAATGATTCTTTTTGGTTACCTGTTTGGTTTTACTCCCATATTTCTGTGCTACTACATCTGCTTTTTATTTTCTCTCAATTACAAAAGCAATATAGACTCGATGAAGACAATTTGGAAAATAAAAAAGACAGGGAAAATCACACTGGCCCCTAATTCTGTCACTCTGCAGTAGCTATTCACATTTGGTCGTGCATCCTTCCGAGCATTTAGTTTTACAAAAATGGGTTGATACCCTACACACAGTTAAGTCCCCTACACATCAACAAGTTCCATTCCCAGAGTGCATTCGTAAGTCCAATTTGTTCGTTAAGTTCAACAAAGTTAGCCTAGGTACCCAACTAACACAATCGGCTATGTAGTACTGTATTGTAATAGGTTTATAATACTTTTCACAAAAATAATACATAAAAAACAAACACAAAAAATAAACATTTTTAATCTTACAGTGCAGTACCTTGAAAAGTACAGTAGTACCAGCTACATCACGGCTGCTTTTACACCTGCTTCCGGACATCCTGGGCTTGAAATAAAGATACTGTACTATGGCACTCTACACAGTTCTGTACAGTAAAGTACACAGAAGCACAACCACTTGTAGAGGATGCACGCACGTGACAACCTATGCCAGACCCGTGAGCTAATTTACGTGACTGGACATGTGAACGCGTTTGCATCTTTGAAAGTTCGCGACCTGAAGGTTCATAGGTAGGGGACTTACCATGTTGCTTTGTAACCTGTTTCCCTCTTGACTTTGAGCTTTTTTTTTTTTTTTTTTTTTGCGGTACGCGGGCCTCTCACTGTTGTGGCCTCTCCCGTTGCAGAGCACAGGCTCCAGACGCGCAGGCTCAGCAGCCATGGCTCATGGGCCCAGCCGCTCCGCGGCATGTGGGATCTTCCCGGACCGGGGCACGAACCCGTTTCCCCTGCATCGGCAGGCGGACTCTCAACCACTGCGCCACCAGGGAAGCCCTTAATTATCTTTTGTTTCCTTGGATTTTGATATCTGAAAACAGGATTCCTCTCTGGAGGAAGCACTGTACACACCGCCAAGTTGAAAGGGCATACAGAACTCCAAAAGTGTAGAATATAAAAAATAAAATCAGCAAGCCAAATATTTAAAATTTAATAAATCGATCTTTGGGTCTCTAACCCTTTATGCTTAGGATGGACACATGGGGTGATTCAAGATTTCAAGCAAGAGTTTCATATCAGAATTGTCCTCTCTAGACTCAAACAATATCCCAAGAGTCTTAAATGTATAGCTTTCTATTTAAGAATTTTAAGAATGTATTAAGGAATACATTTAAGAATCTTAAATGTATAGCTTTCTTTTAAAATGCTGATTGTTAGCGAGGTATACAAATACACAGACCCTGGGGAGGCAAAAAGCATTCACTCCCTCCCTCCATCGCATATCAGCTCTGTTTCCATCATTCCGCTCTTGTGGCTGCAAGCCAATCCCTGTGGTAAGGCATTTAAAAACAACCGTGTGGCTCCATGAAGTCTGGAGAATGATGCTGTTACCTGCCCGGCTTCAATGTATCTTTGTTTGCTTCCCACAGAAAAAACAATTTAATCACGGGTGGTTTACAGCCTTGATTAGAGTGGGAGGTTCAGTACTTGAAGCGCTGGCAAAACTCAGCCAACAGATTCATGGTTTTATTTATTTATATTTTATAAAGTAAGCTTTTAATGGCTCACGGGTGATCGAATCCAGAATTTCATAGTCTATACTACTGACCTCTGTTAGAGCTGGGGGCCCTTGATTTTGCCAAGAATCTCTGGCTGTGTATATAAGATACCAACAGAACCAAGATGGAAAAGGCAATAGACTAGCTATTTTGTCTGTATGACAATTCTGTTGCTAATTTTTTAAGCGATCCAACCAATATAACACAACTAGGGAGGGGACAGGCATGCAGCATGCCAGTGGAATTTTGCCCCAGGAAACATGCCCTTGTGAGTCTTTTTATACAGATTTTACTGAGAAAAATTAGTTGTTTGTGTTAACTTGTAAGCTGTATAACAGAGTAGAGTATTCATCTCACTTACTTGAAATCCACGTATTAAATTTAGTTGGAATAAGCAGGTTTTTTAATGATTATTGTAATATAGGTCATGATGATTGAAAATAGTTTAAGATTGTCCTTGAGTATTAGGCTTTTCCTGCTGCCTTGGGTTCTTGTTATTTATGTTCGTATATTTCTATGAAATTCAGGCTGTGGCTGACTGTCATTTTGTGAGGGTGATAATATGGAGAAGTGTTGGCTTTAATTTTGGGGGGACTTTGCAAGAAATCAGTATCATCCATTTATTTTAATCCATTTTATTTCTTTAGTTTGATCATTTTTCATCCTAGTCAAAAGAGATAACTGCTACTTCTGACTCAGTGAAAAGCAAATAGTCTAATTTGTAGCGGGATTTAGGAGCATTTATGACACCATAATAGAAAATAAAATAGAAGCAAAACGTAAAACATAGGGACATTCAAAACCCGAATCCTCGGTCTCCAAGTGTTTCATTTCCCAGCCCTGCCCGCCTTTCTGCCTGCACCTCTGTGAAGCACCTGGCTTGTCTTGCTTTCTGCCATGTTCTCGTTCTTTCTTTCACACCAGTAGCACCCACATGTTAAAACGAGTCTCTGGTACTACTTACAGTTTTCTGTCTTTTAAATGCCTTTTCATATTAAAAAAAAAAAAAAGGAAAAATAAAAGAAAAAAGGTTGAGAGAGATCGAATTATCTTCTGCCTTTTTCTCCCTTTCTCCCTCCTCCTCCCCCTCCCAGGAAAAGACAGCTTCAGATGCTAGGGATCAATATGCTTTTTTAAAAGTTAATTTCTTTTTTTAATGAATAAGTTGAATTTAAGGTGGGTTATTTTTAACTCCTATTTTTTAAATTAATTTTTATTGGAGTAGAGTTGATTTACAATGTTGTGTTAGTTACAGGTGTACTGCAAAGTGAATCAGTTATACATATACGTATATCCGCACTTTTTTAGATTCTTCTCCCATATAGATTATTACAGAGTACTGAGTAGAGTTCCCTGTGCTATATAGTAAGTTCTTATTAGTTATCTATTTTATATATAGTAGTGTGTATATGTCAATCCCAATCTCCCAATTTATCCGCCCCCCCCGTAACCATAAGTTTGTTTTCTACATTTGTGACTCTATTTCTCTTTTGTAAATAGGTTCATTTGTACCATAATTTTAGATTCCACATATAAGCAATAGCATATGATATTTGTCTTTCTCTGTCTGACTTACTTCACTTAGTATGATAATCTCTAGGTCCATTCATGTTGCTACAAATGGTATGATTTCATTCTTTTTTATGGCTGAGTAATATTCCATTATATGTATGTACCACATCTTCTTTATCCATTCCTCTGTTGATGAACATTTAGGTTGCTTCCATGTACTGTCTATTGTAAATGGTTCTGCAATGAACATTGGGGTGCATGTATCTTTTTGAATTATGGTTTTCTCTGGATATATGCCCAGGAGTGCGATTGCTGGATCATATGGTAGCTCTATTTTTAGTTTTTTAAGGAACCTCCATACTGTTCTCCATAGTGGCTTTATCAGTTTACAGTCCCACTAACAGTGTAGGAGGGTTCCCTTTCTCCACACACTCTCCAGCATTTATTGTTTGTAGATTTTTTGATAATGGTCATTCTGACCAGTGTGAGGTGATACCTCATTATAGTTTTTTTTTTTTTTAAACGTCTTTATTGGGGCTCGTTGTAGTTTTGATTGGCATTTCTCTATTAATTACTGATGTTGAGTATCTTTTCATGTGCTTTTTAACCATCTGTATGTATTCTTTGGAGAAAGGTCTATTTAGATCTTCCACCCATTTTTTGATTGGGTTGTTTGTTCTTTCGATATTGAGCTGCATGTGCTGTTTGTACATTTGGGAGAAAAATCACTTGTCAGTTACTTCACTTGCAAATATTTTCTCCCATTCTGAGGGTTGTCTTTTCGTTTTGTTTATGGTTTCCTTTGCTGTGCAAAAGCTTTTAAATTGAATTAGGTCCCATTTGTTTATTTTCATTACTCTAGAAGGTGTATCAGGAAAGATCTTGCTGAGATTTTTGTCAGAGAGTGCTCTGCCTATGTTTTCCTCTAAGAGTTTTATAGTATCTAGCCTTACACTTAGGTCTTTATTCCATTTTGAGTTTATTTTTGTGTATGGTGTTAGCATGTATTCTAATTTCATTCTTTTACATTCTTTTACATGTAGCTGTCCAGTTTTCCCAGCACCACTTATTGAAGAGACTGTCTTTTCGCCATTGCATATTCATGCCTCTTTTATCATAGATTAGGCCATAGGTGTGTGGGTTTATCTCTGACTTTCCTGTTCCATTGAACTATATTTCTGTTTTTGTGCTAGTACCATACTGTTTTGATGAATGTAGCTTTGTAGTATAGTCTGAAGTCAGGGAGCCTGATTCCTCTGGCTTAATTTTTTTAATTTTATTTTTTTAATGAAGTGTAGTTGACTTACAATGTTGTTTTAGTTTCAGGTGTACAGCATAGTGATTCAGTTATATATATATATATATATATATATATATATATATATATTCTTTTTCAGATTACTTCCCCTTATAGCTTATTTTAAAAATATTGAGTACTGTTCCCTGTTGTATACATTAGGTTCTTGTTGTTTATCTATTTTATGTTTAATAGTGTGTATATGTTAATCCCAAACTCCTAATTTATACCTCCCCCCTCCCTACTCTGTCTAATTTAAACCCTTTACAATGTGTCCAGCTTTTCTACTTGGCCCTTGTGGGAGTTTCACTCTATAACCACCTCTGTCTTATTATAGAAGCAAAATCATCATTGCATTTTCTTGATTACTAGTGCAGCTTTTCATTTTGGGGGATATTTGTCTTCTGTTCAGAAATTTTAAATTTTGACCTGGTCTGTTTTAACAACTTTTTCTTTATAATTTGCATCTTTTATTTCATGTGTCAGAAAACTATTTCCAATTTTGATATGCTAAAGATATTCTAACACAATTTATTTTTTAAAGCTTCTTTGCTAGTGAAAGAGCATACTAACCAAATAAGATACCAAGACAACATACATAAATGAGGTTTGGTCTAAGCAACTGATAAACACTGTCACCCTACCCAAGACCAATATATATGTATTTATCTCTTACCTTACCTTATCTGTCCAAATTGAATCAGGGCCTCCTAAAAACAATAGCTAACATTTATTACTGATTACATGTTGGAACTATGCTAAGTGCTTTACAGACATGTTTTATTTGATTCTCACACAAACTCTGCAAGATAGCTATTATTATCATCCCTGGTTTACAAATGAGGGAAGTGTCACATAAAAGTAAGGAGTCTGGTAAGCAACCGAACCAATACATGAATTCAGGAAGCCTCTGTCCTTAGTCACTGTGGAATGCTAAGGACATTTACTAGCACATACAGAATGCTAGTAATTGCTCCCTTTGCCTTTGGGATTTCTCTTGGTTCTGCTTCTTTTCTTCTTCTATCTAGCATTCGTTTCTTCCACTCCTTTGCTTTTGACTTAGATTCCTACTTTTTGCTTAGGCTCTTTGAATTGGAAGCTCTGTTTTAATGATCTGCCCAGCTTTGATTTAATACTAACTTTTATTGCTACCTACTACCTTTGGCTCCACTTCCAAACCTTTGAGCTTTCTTTCCATCCAGTGC